ATTTTAAATAGCTTAAAGGAGAACTATGAGGTGAGTGCTTTTCCCTCACCTCATAGTTCTAGCCGACCTGTGACAATGAGACTGTCACAGGTCGGCTCAGTAGATCGGGAGGTGAGCGAACATATACCGGCGTTCGCTCACCTCTCGATCCTGTCACTGCTCTCTGCCGTGACAGTATTCCCCGCTCCAATCCGACAGCGCTGACTGGCGGAACGGACGGGGGAGGGGGCGGGTACAGCTGGCTCTGCCTCTAGATAGGCAGAGCCAGCTGTCAGTCACGCAGCTGGGCAGATCCCGGCACAATTGTCAGGATCAGCTTCAGCGTCTCAGTATACCGCGGGCAGCGGTGTGCAGGCGTTTACATGCAGCAGCTGTCACCCAATCATTAATTTGCAGCAGTTCACGGTATACTGCGGCGTCTCAGTATACAGCTCGCGGTATACTGAGCCTAGGGCGACTGGAGGACGCTAGTTTGTGTCCTCCCGTTACCCCAAGGAGAACTATGGGGAAAAGCCCTAACCCCATAGTTCTCCTTTAAAAATATTTTTGACTTGAATATCACTTTAGGCTGGCCACAGACTGGCTCTTTGTCTCGTTTAGCCCCGTGGGCTGAATAATAAAAAGCACTAGATTACCCCAACAGCACAAAACTGCGTGGGTGAGGAAATATCACTGCCTTGCTGATGCCTGAGCAACTCCAATAAAACAGGAAAGCAGTTTGTTGGCATCCTGTTGCTGGAGAGGACTGCCCATGTGACATGACCCTTTGAGCTCTTCAAATGTTGGTAATATTGGTTATGGTCATTTTTTTAGTAAATTGGGCTATTTATAATTACATTCAGTAAGCCTGCCACACTTGGACTACACAAGTATATTTACTCACTGGTGGTCCAGCATCCCATAAAGTGTCACCTTTACTGGTATTTGGCTTACTAGTGCAAGAGTAGGCACAGCTCTGTACACTAAAGCAATGTGGCAAGTCACACTGTAATATGGACTGCAGGAAAACAACCACCAATTCCCAACAGTCATTTTTGGATAAAATGTGAGGATAATCAAACACGCAAAGTTTGTGTCAAGGGATCTTAAAAATTAACTATGTCCATAAATCTTGCAGCACTCCTTACCGGATATATCCCCAGAGAAATATAATGGGTGCTTGTAATGACTGCGGATGGCACCACTCACAGTGAAGCTTCAATAAGAATGTCACCAGCACAAGAGCTTCAAAATCAGTGCAAATCCATTTTATTGATAGAGGTCTCTAAGATGTCAAGCGCTTTTGGGGCCACACAGGGTCCCCTTCATCAGGCTCAGAGATAACTTAAAATTTAACTAACCCTACTGTGCGCTAGGGAGGGACTAGTCATCCTTTGCTTGTGTCCTCTGTACTCCTTTGGTAAATCATCCGATTAGAGTGTAAACTTCACTTTGGCAAATGTGTTTTCCGGAATGTTTTTTTTCATCTGTGTTTTTGTTATTTTACTCCCAACTGTTTAAAAATATTCAAATTTGCTCATTCATCTCTCATATGTGCGTAATGACAATAGTAGGTACATAGTTATAACAAATGTTGTAACTCTGTGCAACACTTTGGGGCAAATCAATGTCAGTGAATGTGACTTCATCAAACGTCTACTGGTAGTGAATCAATCACTCATTTAAAACACATGCACCAAAAAGATATAAGATTCCCTGCTTTATAAATATGCTCCTTAATAAATACACCCCCCCCCCCCCCCCTTTTGCTAAAAGTTGGTAATTATTAAAGGAAACCAGGCACGACAGAAACATAAGGGAGGCCATTGCTGACATCCTTCTGAAAACAATAGTTGTTCTCTCTGCTCTCTCAATATTCACAGACCTGGATCAAGGGTGAACCAAGTCTTGATTTCCATAGTAGCTTGGGGTCAATGACGGAGAAAGTACTGAAAACTGAGGACACCAAGGAATTATTTCATGTCAAATTGTAGCCTTTGCCTTTTTCTTGTGATATTTCCGGTATCTACACACAATATATAAAGTATGGGCACATCTTTAGGCCCCTTTCCCATAGGCAGCGTCCATTCCGATGAGAAAGGAATCTGTGAACAGATCCGATAAGCTGGAGCAGAACAGAAGGGATGTCACTTTTCTAACATCCATGTTTTTTTCCTCCATCTTGTGATGGAAGCTAAACCGACCCATGTGCATTCATTTACATCCTGTTACCTCTGATCTGTCATATTTAGGTCGGAAAAAAACAGAAAAGGATGCAAACCTTTTCCTTTTTTTACCTAAATGAACTAGGAGGTAATCAGATGTAATTGACTAACACTGAGCTACCAATCAGATCAGATGTTTCTAACTGCAAATACATATTCAGATCCAACTTACATTTTTTTTCTTAACTCTTGCAGTACTGAAATGGCCATTTTTGTCTAGGTGCTAAAAAAAAAAAGTAAAGGTGCCCATACACTTTACAACCCTCGCAAGACTTTTGTCTTGCGAGGGTTGTAAAGTACTTAAAAACAGGCAGGCAGATCGTACCTGCGATCATCGCAAGCCCACCCCCCTGAGGGGCGGGCTTCCAATGACTGCAAAGCTGAACGGGCAGTGTGTGCATGCGCACACCGGCCCGTTCGGCAGTGATCTCTCGATCATGTTAACAACCAGCCGAAAATCGTACGATTCTCGGCTGCTTTTCCAACATGCTCGATATACAAAAGTCGTGCGACCGTACATTAGAAACGGTCGCACGCCTTCCATACACTGCGCGATTCTCGTACGAGAATCGTGCAGTGTATGGGCACCTTTATACTCATCTGAACCACAGAGTTGGTTGGCTGCTACTCCGTTCCCTGAAGCCTGTCTGCTCCTCCACAGCAGGGATGGTATGTCCCTCAGGATCTTCCCATCCTACACACTGTGTATAGAATGTGATGACTCACAGGGCCTTAGACCGCTGCATCGGAGGGGGAGAGGTGCTCCAGGGACCGATCTAAGAGCAAGCCGGCTCTGAAGGTTGGGTGAGTATAACTTTGGGCTGAATGATTAAAAAAATGTCTACTTTTCACCATCCAGACAAAATAGCATGGATAGGAGAATCCTCCCGTGTACACAGACTCGGAGGCAATCACACAGAAATGACTGACGTTGAGCTTCTGAACAGATCTGCCTGAAAATCTGACAGGCAGATCTGATTGGAACGGCTTTGTTAAAGGGGCCTTAAGCGATACTGACAAATGCTATGGTGTTACCTATAATATTTGTAACATGAAGTCCATTCAGAAAGATGACCATTCGCAGCCAGAACTAAACTATGGAGGATACCTGGAACCTGATCATATTCCACTGAGCTACTTAATCACTATTTATATCCAGGCCCATGAAATCTACTAAGAAACACAGCCATAATAAATCAATCAATTCAGTGCTTCTGCAGAAAATCCTATTTCTTTGAAAAATATTCTCATATTCAGTTCTTATTATGCATGATTTTTATAAAGCAGGAACTGTAGGACTGACAAGGGCCTGTTTAACAAGTGCATTATTAAGCACTCACCAAGATGTAATATGCCAGGATACCTGAGCTATATGTATGTGTATACCTTTACTGCATCCCTTCAAACAGTCAAAATATTAAACCTAATTAAACAGGAAGAGAGTCAAAGGAAACTTCCCTTTATCACAGATGTCAAATATTCCATCCAAATACGCAGCTGCGTTGTTATTTACAGTAGGGAGGCTTCAAAGACGCTTATATTGTACATAGAAAAGATCTTTTAAATTAGCCATTTCTAGACTAGTAACTTCACTAAAAAAAAATATTTGGGTGACTGCGGGGTAGGAATATATCAGCCTGTACAGCACCAGGGTGAAGATCCTGCACTGGCTCTTGCTCCTGTCTGTGAGAATTTGGTGCGGTCTTCAATGGGGATCCCTCAGACCACACAACAAACAGCAGCATATGTAGTCACTGAATCACCCCGCTGGAGGAACTAATGCTTAAACATATCCAGCAAGAAAGAAAGTGTTCCTATGAAAGCATTATCATTCACAATGAGTCACAATTCCACAATGACATTTGATACATTTCACAGCAAAGAAGACCCCAGGCAGGTATACTTGGTGTCAGTATAGGTGCTCTACATGGGTGAAAGCGCTAACTTCAGGCTTCATTTACCTAGAAAAGCAATTTAGGTGCACAATATAGGAAGGGTCACTAAGCTAAGCACATGTAGGCAACCTTTGACCAGTCAGTCCATCACTTGCCTAAACCAGCCTTTCTCAACCAGGGTGCCGCAAAATTTTTGCAGTGTCATGCGTTTCCACTATGGTGCAAGTTGGCTGACCACCAGCACCATGGAAACTAATGACACTAACCCAGGGAGGGTGGGATCCACTGAGAAGAGGATTAAAGCTCACCTTCGTCCAGGGCTCATCTGACATCTTAATGTGATGGCAGGGGGCTCCTGATGTGAAAAAAGGAGTGCCCATAGTGAGTAGCTGGTCTCCCACATGCAAGTTATCCACAACATAGAAGAGAAAGGAGACTACAGGCCATGTTGCAGGAAACAGGACTCATCTTAGGTCAAGGTAACCTAATTTCTTTTAGGTGTTACAAGGAAAAGACCAAAAGTATAATTTGTAATGAAAGTGTCTTTATACTTGAAAGAACCCAGAACAGTGCACCTTCCTTATTGATACAACAGCATTCATATTGTTCACTGATCAAATTTCAAATCATGAAAATGCACTCCACAGTTCTCAGTAACATTACCGGGTCATGGTTCAAGCACATGGAAAAATGTAATCTCAGACCGCAAGATGGCCACACGTACAGTGTTTCGGCAGTAGACGCATTTAAAACAAATGTAGTTAATATATATTTGTAGCCTATCCCAGTGGTCATCTGGCATAAAAAAAGCCAAAATCAATCCAACAATAGACTAGTACGTTGTTAAAAAACAGTGATGGTTATGGTTGGGGTGGAAAGACTAATGCAGAGCATTGTCCAGCCTCACCCTATCAATCTTAAGTAGTAGGAAAAATATTCCATACTACCACATTACATATACACACACAGGAGAACTTGGTAAGACAATGAAAAAGACATACAAATGTACACGTTGTAGTGAAAAATCTAAAAAGTTTCATTTCCGCATTAGAAAATATATCTGCATAACTGCTCTTCTGCCACCTCCTTGCTGAGAGCCTCCTGGTACACTTTAAGTTATAAGGCAAGTTACCGATCACCAACTCTGCAGGGCGAGTCACCAGAGCTGGCAGTGTCACCGCAGTTATAAAGCTTAAAGCTAATTCAACAAACCCATGCATCACGCTGCTCTTCTTTCCAATTCTAAAGGAAAAGGGAAATGATAATGTAGTAGGTACGTAGTGTTAAAGCACTGCTACTGGAAAGAGATCTTGATGAAGATCCAATCCCTAAAACAATCTGCTCCAGGAAATTAAAGACACATTAAAAAGGATGCATAAAAATCCAATTACACTGATCACGGGACGGGGAGTTCACATTCCAGGGAAGACGTCCACTGAAGCAGGATGAAGCACATTCAAGTAACACATGATATGAAAACAGAGGGCTGAAAGAGAGTACTGCATGCATGCAATGTGGTCAGCTGTAGACTGTCTGCCTAGGAGGGAATTCACCTTCCGACCAGGACAGGGGTTTATTTTCACAGTAATAGTTCTGCTTTCTTGGGTCATCATAGGTAGAGGACTCAGCTATGCGACTCAGTGCCATTAGGCGTTAGCTTTGTTTTCTTCTCCACACAAGTTCCTTTGGCGGAATACTGAACCAAGAGAAATGGCTCTTTGGTCTCTCCTTCCCCGACAATACTCTCCTCATCCTCTGATTGGCTGAACTTCTGCAGGTGAAGGTAACACCAGCAACCCAGAATTAAGGCACCAAGGGCTGCAATGGCAATAAGGATGACGATTACTGTGACCACCCCTGTGGTGGGGTCATGGTCCATAATTGACATGGCTGACACAGGTGTTCAATAGCTCAGATAGTTTGGATTCAGTCTTAGCTCAGGTCCCGAGACGTTGGAAACTGCACAGGAAGAAAAGAAAAACATTACTGAAAAATAAAATACAAATATGCTTCAGGCTTCAAGTCACAATTATTTCTTCCTGTTTCTTTGTACATTTAGTCCTCATATATACCTTAGAACCATTTCAGAGACCCACATCTGCATTCCTTTCCTGTGGCAACATTTTATTCTGCTCTCTCCAGCTATATGCCGGGCAAAGCTTTTATAAAAGTCTGCCCCTTAATGTACAATACATCATCATTTTTTTTCTACTGCCTTATACATAATATGCTACATACAATGTGATTGGATGATGGAGGAGCAGCAACACTGATGTTTTCTTGTGGTAGTTACCAGATAAAATCGGTTATCTTTTTCTTTTTGTAAGCAATTTGTCAATATAACAACAAAAAAGCCAACTTGACTGAGAAATGATATTTACTAAAATGATATTCAGTATGTGAAGTTTGACTCGTATTGCGAAATGGAGAACTATGGGGTCAGGGCTTTTCCCCATAGTTCTCCTAAGGGTAACGGGAGGACACAAACTAGCGTCCTCCCGTCACCCAAAGCTCAGTATACCGCAAGCTACAGCTCGCGGTATACTGAGACGCCGCAGCCGGGACGGATCCCGACAATACTGTCTGGATCCACCCAGCTACGTGCTTGACAGATGGCTCTGCCTATCTAGAGACAGAGCCAGCTGTAACCGCCCCCTCCCCCGTCTGTTCCACCAGTCAGCGCTGGAGGATTGGACAGGGGTGGGGGGGAATCCCTGCAGGGAGCCGTGAGTGACAGTCATGGCTCTCTGCACGGATAGATCGAGAACTGAGTGAATGCCGGTATGTGTTCGCTCACTTCCCGATCTATTGAGCCGACCTGTGACAGTCTCATTGTCACAGGTTGGCTAGAACTATGAGGTGAGTGATGTTCACTCGCCTCATAGTTCTCCGTTAATAAATGTTCTTGCTGTCATGATTTGCATTGTTTTGTATTTTATGTAAGAACAGTGGCCAAGCGTTTACAGTCTTGCCTTGCAGTTCCAGGCTCCCGAGGTCAGCGTCCCCTAATGACAGTCCCTGTTTGGGGTAAATAGATTTTCCTTGCGTTTAGATTGGTTTACTTCCATGAACGTACTGCTAGGGCCTGTAATCTATATTGGGGTGGAAGTGGAGGGGTTAACAAGCATTTGGAAAGTAAGAAAATTCGTCCTTTCATTTTGCAGAAATCTGTGTCCGTTCTTGCCGGACGTGTTGCAGAAAGTCTGGCCTTCAGGGCTGTGTATTTTCCTCCTTGGCTGTGAACGGAAGTGCTTTGCCTGGTGATCAGTTGTCTCCTCGCCTGTGAATACTCTGACCCCTGACCCCCGCTTACTTCTGCCATACAGAGGCTTCATTTGCTTATTAAAAGAAAGGCAGAACAGAGAAAAATGCTCTGCTCGAGGATGACTCCATTAACCATCTGTGGTTGAAATGAAAAGCTAAAGCCCCCAGGGGAATCTTCTCATGTTCATGGTCACCTCGCCCGTAGGTTATGTTTTCGCTGCTTCGTTTGCAATCGTACATTTTGGGTAAATTAAGTTACATATCCAGATTTTCAGTTAAATTCATAGCACCAAAAGTTTCATGTTTTATCCTTCTCATCTGCCAAAAAGATGTGTAATACTGTTCAGCCAATATTCTGATTCAGCTATGCCAGTCAGATGGCTCCGCCAGGATCCCACGCCGCTTTACTGCAGTTAAAGTTATATAAACGTAGGATTCAATTCTCAATCTTTTTCCAATAATGAATCCAGATCAGACAAATATACATTGCCCAGCAAAGTATTCCTTTACTTTTATGCCCAAACAATTACAGTCAGCAGGTTTCTGACCAGCTGGCTCCAACTTTCTCAGCTCAACTTCCCTGAACTTTCTGTCCAGTACAAGATCACAAAGGACAGCACAGTTTCCAGCAGCTGTCCATCTACTAGCTTAAAAATGGGAGAAGGGGGGAGTTGATTGTCTTGCTGTGCCTGTGTTTGTGGTGAAACATACAGCTAGCTAGCACACACACACAAGGGTGGCTCCATAGGACCCTGCAAGAAAGCAACCCTTGTGTGTTATAGCAAGCTGTGTCTCCACAAATACACAGCAAGGCAAGCCACTCCTCTGCTCCTCCCTCCCTTCTCCAAGCTAGTACAGTGACGACTGCTGGAGTCTGCTCTGTCTCTTGTGATCTTCTACTAGACAGGAAGTTCAGGGAAGTTGAGCTGTGAGAGTTGGAGCCAACTGGTCAGAAACATGATGACTAAGTGCTTGGGCAAAACTTTTTTTAAATACTTTGCAGGCCAATGTACAGTATTTGGTCTGCATTCATAATTGGGGAAAAAAACTAGTTTAATACTACTTCAAAGCAATACAGTTGGTCAAGAACAGACTCAGCCTGTGATTTAATCGTGAAAGAGCAGCAACACAATGATGAGGTCATCTCTGCACTCTCTACTCTCATCAGCCAGTTACCTTTGTCCTGTGCAGAATTGTAAACACGGACTTCCAAAGATCCTCTCCCAATCTTACTATCCACAGAACTACAGGAGGTTACCATAAAAGGAAAATGTACTATTTAACCACTCGAGTCCCCGGGCCTTTTTCTCGCTAAATCCACTTGTTTTTTGTTTTGTTTCAGCTATGTTTCCGTTCAACACATTAGATTTGTTTTGTAGTCTATCCTAAGGAAGGTTTAATGAGTCTCCTGTCATTCTTACCAATGCAACGTAATTTGTGCAACTCCACATATTTACCCAAAAATATAATCAAATCAATGTCTGCCGAGAAACTGTAACCAAAACAATACTGAAGGAGAAATCTTCCAATTGAGGCACATGTTCTGGTAACAACTGTCTTAAGGCCCCATTTACACCAGGGCGGTTCGGTCGTGTGGATTTACCCGCGCTGAACCGCCAACAATCCCATACATTCCTATTAGGACAGTTCATGTGATTGCGCGCCTCAGAGCGATCTGAACCGCCTGCCACTGGAAATGCCCCATGAGCTATTGTTTTGCGCGCCGATCACCATGGATTCCATATAGATTCTAATAGAAACGAGCTGATGTGCGCGTTTTGGGGCGTTTTTAATTGTGTTTCATCGCTGCAACGCAAATAAAAACGCCCTTTTAAAATTATGCGCTGAAATGCATCCGCCCTAATGCTGGTGTGAATGGGGCCTAAGAGGTCACTTTTGAAAGTTTTCTTCTTACTTCTCGTCTCTAGGACAGGAATGTTCTTATCAACAGACTCAGTTGACCTGTAGGGTAGAACATCCCATTAGATCAAGTATACCATCATAGAAAACAAAGACTACTACGACTGGACTATTACAGCACCCATATCACAACAATTTGTATTCTATCCAAGTAATTTTTTGTTATTTAGATATGTTAAAAACACATCAAGATGTACAAATATTGTTTTGACTCCATTCTCCCTCACTCTAGGACAGGAAATGAATGGAAATCTTCCCAATGGGACACAGACAGAAAAATTGGCAGGGGTTTTAACTATCCGATACGTATCCCAAAAAAAGTTTTAGTTTTAAATATAGTTTAAAGGAGAACTATGAGGTAAGTGTTTTTCCCCACAGTTGTCCTAAGGGTCACGGGAGGACATATAATAGAGTCATCCCATGACAGCTAGCAGTATACAGAGACCGCTGCAGCTGGGACGGATCCCGACATTACTGTCAAGATCCACCCAGCTGCGTGAGTGACAGCTGGCTCTGCCTATCAAGGGGAAGAGCCAGCTGTACCCTCCCCCATCCGTTCCTCCAGTCAGCGCTGGAGGATTGGAGCGGGGGGGGGAGTTGGTTGCTGCGGAATCCCTGTGGGGAGCTGACTGACAGTCACTACTCTCTGCAGGGAGATGATCGAGAAGTGAGCGAGCAACAATATGTGTTCGCTCACTTCCTGATCTATTGAGCCGATGTGTGACGTGCGATAGTTCTCCTTTAAACAATTTTAATGAACTCATTAAATGGGGGATTCAATATTGGTATTTTATATCTGCCTATGCTCACAGCTCATTACATAAAAACACGTGTTTGATATTAAAAAGAAATCCATTTAAATAAAAAAAATAGAAATAGGAGTATAAAAAGTCAATAGGACAAATGGTGCTTTTGGCTGTAGTAGGTGATTGAGTTGATTCTTTTATTCACTAGGTTTTGTTTTGGCAGTGTCCCTTCTTGTACATAATGTATCATTTTATGACTCTGCCTCTTGTAATTGTAAGAGTATATAAAGTATTCAAATAGAAGCAAAGTAATGCTGTGAAATAAACCACCAACATTCTTTGCCCTTTTTTATCTTCTGCACGAAGACCAAATTTTGAACAACATTCAGAAGGTCGCACTTTGCTGTATTTATATACCGCTGAGCTGGAACATGGCTGATGGCTGTGAAGGATGCAATTCCAAACATAGGAACAGAATGATTAGCCTGATTACAAGGATCCCCTTTAGGAATGCTTCCAGTAGTTAATTAGACGTATGGCATAGCAGCTTGCGCGTTCACAATGCCTCCTCTTTCGCTTTCTTACATGATTTGCTAACCTCATAAGGAGAACGTAGAGGAACAATTTGTAAACAATGGACTGTGTCTAATTAAAGCATTACGTTCCTTGAAAAACAGAGGCTCTTATTGTTGGCTTCTCATGTTGAAAATGCTAGGTCCCTGGCTGTGAAGCTGACCCTGTGCTTCCGATAACCTGAGATACTTGTCCAAAACAAATGTGCAGAAAAGGACCTCTGATATTTCTCTGACGTCTCAGATCTGCATTCTTCTGCCTAGTCACTGAAAGTACTGGAACTAGACAGCAAAATAGCCATGTTGTCAAGGTAGGTGAGGAGTGCTGAAAATAAAAGGTCTCAAGACTGTACATTGGTGTAACATGACTTGGCAGACATGGCAATCTTCCCTTCCAGAAAGACAACAGAACATTGATGCATGCACTTGATATAC